GGGGAGGGGCACTCCAGTGACCCTGGTCCACCGTGCTGTGCAGGCGCACTGAGTGTGGACTGTCAGCCTCGGGCCGGGCTTTCCGGGGAGGCCAAGTGGCACGTGGCTGTTAAAGACACCGGGCCGCAGCCGTTTGCCCGCGCAGGGCCTGGCACAGGCCGAGGTCTTCAGCGCCCCACATCTTCTCTCCTAGGCAGTGGCAGCCCTCTCCCGGGGCTGGGTACAGAGGCACATCCTGTTTCCCTGCCCATAGAAGTCCCCATACCCAAAGCCCCTCAACCTGAGGCTGACCCTCTCCGAAGCCCTGGAGACTCGATGCAGAAAGCCTCAGGGGAGGGGGCCGCCCCTGCCCACTGCCCAGCTGGCTGGGGGTGGGGGTGGGGGACGGCCGCGCCCCCTGCTCCTCCCTCTCCTTGCAGAGGAGCTGGCAAGCCGCCTGGCCGGGGCCATTGCAGGTGGGGATGAGGAGAGCGCAGCCCAGGCCGCAGCCACCCTGGCCCAGCACCACACGGCGCTCAGTGTCCAGCTCCCAGAAGCCTGCTTCCCACCAGGTCCCATCAAGTGAGGCCTGGCTTCTCCCTGCCCCCCACCCCTGCCCGGACCCCGCCCCTCCTCTTCCTGATCAGTTTCTGGCCTAGGCTGCAGGTCACCGTGGGTGATGCCACATCCACCATCTCTGCTGTGTCCTCCGCCCACTTCGTGCTGCGTGTGCATCCCCACTGCACCATAGCTGCCCTCCAGGAGCGGGTGAGCACGGGGCCTGGGGAGTCTTGCTGGGGCAGGAACCCTGGGTGACAGTGGCCCCGATGCTCTGCTCAGGTGTTTTCGGAGTTGGGTTTCCCACCGGCTGTGCAGCGCTGGGTCATCGGGGGCCATCTGTGTGTGCCTGAGCGCAGCCTTGCCTCCTACGGGGTCCGGCAGGACAGAGACCCTGTCTTCCTGTACCTGCTCTCAGCCCAAGAGGCCCCAGGTCAGGCTTCGACTGGGAGGGAGGAGGTGGGGTACAGCCTGGAAAACCCTGAGTCCCACCTTCTGCCACAGGACAGAGTCCCCAGAAGATGGATGGAGAGCCAGCACGCTCATTTCCTCTGCCACTGGGGCTGCCCCAAGCCTCGCAACCAGCTAGTTCCAGCCTCCCCAGCCTCCTTCAGGTGGGCAAGGGGTGGACTGGGCCAGGGAGTCAGGCTTGGGTGCCTCGGGCATGAGGTCAAGCAGTTGTCTCCCTGTCTCCCCAGCCTGGCTGGCCGTGTCCCTCTTGCACCTTTGTCAACACCGCAAGCCGCCCCGGCTGTGAGATTTGTAGCACCCAGAGGCCCTGTGCATGAGACCCCCCTTCCAGCTGCCTCCTCCTAACAACCGGCAAAGGTGCTAGAGCAGAGGCAGAGAGGGCAGGGGCGGCAGAACAAGCAGGGATGATCTCTCCTCCCACAGGTGCCGAGCGGGT